TATGTTTTCTAGAATGAACCAGGTGCTGTGGGATGTCTTTATGTACACTGTGAATATATGTTGTTCCCATTGGTTAATAAGTAAAGCTGTAGTGGCCTGTGGCAAAGCAGCTTAGAGACAGGTAGAAATCCAAGCAGATAGACAGGAGGTGAAAGGAGAGAAAAGGAGAAGCCATGCGGCCATTTAGGGAGCAGCACTAATGGCATGCAGGTAAAGCCACGGAACAAGTGGTGACATACAGATTAATAGAAATGGGCTAAGTCTAATTATAAGAGCTAGCTAGCAAGAAAATTGAGCCATAGGCCATGGCCATGCAATTTGTAATTGATATAAGCCTCTGTGTGTTTATTTGGGTCTGAGCGGCTGCAGGACTGGGTGGGACACAGAAAAACTTTCCAACTACAACTTCATGACTGTGTTATTTCATAATTTTCCAAATATTTTTATTGTCTGGTTCAAAAACATTTAAATAAACTGGTATCTGTGACTCTGCATTCACTGTACCCTGAGATGGTTGTAACTAAACCACAGAATGAAGAGGGGCTGGAGTGAGGTGTGGCTCAGTGGTAGAGGGTATCCTTAGCACATACAAGGTCCAGGCCTCAAGTTTCAGCACCTCATTGCTCCCCTAGAAATATCTCAGGAAGCCTCGGGGCTTCTTTTTGAGAATCTCTGAAGGAATCACTTGACTTCCAAAAGGTCTCGGTGGGAAGCCACACTCCATGACATCTGCATCCTTATAAGTGTTATTTGATCTCGAGGCATGGGCAACAGTGAAGTGATGGTCTCACAGGGTTGCTAGGAGGAATTACTGAGGTGTTTTGGTACACAGTATGTTCAGAATAAGACCTGACACATGGCACACACTGTCACTCTTTAGCTTTTGTTATTATTGCCTATGGCAGATGCTTATGGAATGTGAGCAACCCTGAGTCCAGCCAGAAGCAGCTAGAAGCAGCTGCACATTTGGCTTGGTTTCTCTGTAAAATTATTCACCTGAGATCACTTCTATAGATACTGCGAGAGCACCTGCCTAACGTGCAAAGGTAGAGTTTGATCCCTAGCATGGGGGAGACAGACAGACAGACAGAGATAGAGGGAGGGAGGGAGAGAGAGAGGGAAAGAGAGAGAGAACAAATACACCTGAATACTTCATCCTAGGAAAAAAATACTCTAAGCACCTCTTGACTCTTCCTGCCCTCAGCATTATATGCACTACTAACTACTAAAGGGATTTTGATAGAGAATTATGAATGCAATAAAGCTCTTTTTAAAATCGACAAATGAATCTAAGGCTAATAAAAAGTCATTAACTGGCTTTATGGGAAACAATAAACCTTTACTGGTGGAATTGTCAGAAACTTGGAGATTTTACCGAGTAATATAAGAAGCCCAAGAAACATCACTGGAGACCAACAGTGTAAGCATGAAGGCAAACTAATAAGTCCAAGATACATATTTAATTGATTAGCAGGTCACATGGCTCACTCCTCACAAACTGAAGCCCCTCTGGATCATATACTCTGATACTCTGACAGAGTT